TGCGACTGCACATGAGGCCATCAGTGAACGGGTTGAGTTATATGGCATAAAACAGGGTACAGGGGCAAAGGGTAAAGGGCACAGGGCACCGAATGCAATCATAAATAAACAGCACGCATGTAGAATACTTGCATGTAAATAGGGGGCCAAGATCCAAACGGCGTCACAACAGGATTTTTAACCCAACCCCCTGGCTTTGTTGTCAACGTAATTTACCATTTTTCCTTCAACTCCCATCGTCTGCGGAATGCATCACTCACTCACTTAGCAGCGCTCACCTCTTTTGACGGTCTTTGTTTTCACTGGCAAAAATACTTTAAAGTTAATAAATACAATATAAATATAAATATTGTTTTGCAATTATTTTTCAAAGTTAAATGGATTGTTATTTATAAGTTTTGATATTTCTATTTTTAAATATTATAATAATAATATTATTTAGTCATTGTTTACCCAAAATGCGAACTTTATCATTTCTGTTCTATACTCATAGCATAGAATGTTTCTTAATAATGGTATACTTTAACTGAAATCAACTATCATATCTTTTAAGAGCTTTTATTGTAAGCTTCTCCACTACAATACAAAGAATTCTCCTGCCTTTCTTTTTGCTTTATTTATTTGACTTTCACATAGCGCACTCTTCTAAAAATTTTCTGAGTGTGCCACAAATTGCGTTTGCCAGCGGGCTGCGCTGATGAGCTCTGTGCATTGCATACTTCGTGGCGCAGACTTTTCAACCTGCTACGGACGCCGCCCATCAGTTATTTGTCTCGCGCGGCATTGTTTGTCTTGCGAGTTGCGAGCTGCAAGCTCCGCTGCTGGCTGCCTCATTTGCCGCCGCCTCTTTAATGTGTGGGTAAATGCGACAAAATCAAGTTAACTGCCAGCATTAACGCACATGCAACGCGAGAGCGCAACTTTCGACGCGACTTTGCCAACTAACTGGGTTTGCGGCGCAAATGAAATTTGCCAAAATGTCAGACCCGCAGCCCCGACATCGAATTCTGCTGCCATCAGGCGGATTTTAAATCAATTGCGGGGCGATGCTGCGTGACAAATAAACCTAAGCGTAAAGACCACACTGCGTATGCGCAATCTGCAGCTGGGGCAGATGCTCCGCTTCCACATGATGCTGCTTTAGTTGCTGCTTTTGCTGCTGCTGCTGCTGCTGCTGCTGAAGCGATTAGGTCGCCCGACCGTCACATGACCACGAGCCTTTGTGCGGGGCACTATCTGCGTGGCCACTTGAGCGACTCAAAGGCGCACTTTGATCCCGGTCCCCAGTCCACCGCCCACCTGAGATTCGACCAATCTCAGACCCAATCCGACACCGGGAAAACTTTACAGTACCCATTTCTATTCAGATTAAATATTCTTAAAAGAAAAGGAATGATATTTTCTTAACGAAAGGTTTTTTTAGTAGCAATAACATGTTCACAATATTTGAAATGTTCAGTTTAAAAAACGGTTTCAAAAAAGATATTACATTTATGATTTCAATGTTTTCCTTGTCAGTAATAAGTTATTAAGTAATAAGTTAATTAAAGCTATAAAATAACAAAAAACACCTTTTCGTTTTTGTATTTGTATTTAAGGTTTCCTAATTATTTATGATTTTTCAACCAGTTTAATGCCAATAAAAGTAGTAAGTATTTTAATCATTACTAATATCAATAAATTTAAGAATTTTTACTTATATTTGTATAACGTAAAAAATACATTGTATAACTATAAATCTAGGTTTTGCTCTCCGTTTATTTTCGGTGTTTAATTTCATTGCAATCTTGATTGCCCTCGGCCATCGGGCTCTTCACGTTGTGGTCACTAAGCAATGGATATGGACACCTGATTGAGGACGAGACACTCGAAGTTTGCATTCGGCCATAATGGCGGATGCAGCTAATGCACTGATTAGCTGGGAAAAGCGGGAGGACGGGTATCCTTTGAGTTCGGTGCGAGTATTTCCAGTAATTAAACAATCCGCAAATACAGGATTGGGGCAGCTGCACCACTTGAGGCCATTGAATCGAACCGAATCGCATAGAATTGAATCGAGTTCAATGGAGAGAGTCCAGCTGAGCGTTGGGGGAACTTCGAGTGAGTGGCATGTTGCACTTTAACTGGGTTTTCCCGGTAGGGTTTTTCCACAAACCCCCTCCACTATCGATGGCTACACTTTTTTTTTTCCCCTGGATCCGTACAAATCAATTTATGGACGGCCAGCGTTTGAACAATTTCTGTTTCTGTTTCGGTTTCCGTTTCTGTTTCGCTTTGTGCAATTGACGGGCCAATAATTAAGCCGGAGCCGAGGGAAAACGCCCGGAAAACACACGGAAAACGCATGGATAACCGAATGTGTGTACCCTTGTCCTATTGCTGTCTGATGTCTGCTGTCTGACTGCTCCGGTTATGTGGCAAGTTCTTATGACTCTCGGCTGTCGTGGCAAAGTCAATTTCCTTGCTTATTTAAATTTCAAAGCAATTGACAGAAGGTGTTGTTGCGCTCCCGCAAACTGGATTAAATTTCGTTTAAAATGTAAATGGAAAGAAGCGTGATAGACAGGTTCGGCTTTTGCCGCCCGAATCGTATCCAAATTGCGTTTACAACGCCAAAACATAAAAAAAAAAAAACACACACAAAATAAAGTATGAGAGAGGCAACAAGCGGTGGAAAAACTAAACAAACACCTCATCAAAGAACATCAAAGGCCGCCCCAAAAAATGGAAACGGGAAAAACCCCAACAATAACCAGGAGGGTGGGAAAATCAAAAACGAAAAGAAAGAAAGAAAAAGGTGGAAGAAGGTGGAACGAAGAAAGGAAAACATTTTGGTGCGCACGACGCAGAAAATAAAATCAAGAATTTCACACCTTATCAATTTTGCTAGATTAACAAAACGCACAATGGGGTGGGATTGCCACCCAATCACTCCACAGTACAGCACACCACCCAACCACCCACTTCTGGCTGGGAAATTGCATCATCAACGTCCTGGCCGCATCGTGATCGACATTATCATCTTCGTCCTCGGGATGCAGGAAAGCCAGCGTCACCACACTTTGTCATTAGGGAAGTCAAAAACTTCGACCCCAAAGCAAAGGAGTGGGGAAAATCTGGGGATGGTTCTCTTACTGGGGAAAAGCTTGGAAAAAAAGAAAGAAAGCAGGGAGAAATCGGTTTGGTTTTGTGTGACAGCAGCGTTGACATTTATTTTGATTTCAGTTTCGAGTGCAAGCCCTAAGTGGGTGAACTTTCTATTTCCCTTCATCTGTTATCCACTCCAACCTGGTTAACACCCCCCTAGCTTCTTGGTACACTGTTAAAAATTAATACAAAAAAAACAACTTGATATCAATGTCTTCACTGGAAAAATGCATTTAAGCTTATGCCTTGAATTGTTAATTTATAAAAACAAAATTAAATAATAATTTATGAAATGGTATACAAAAATATATTTTTGATTTTTTATTAATAATATACCGAATAAAATATACATAATTGACCATATGAACTCAAAGTTCATTGGTTCAAAGGGTCTCCAAAGTTTAAATTTATTTTGTAAACTTTTGATATGTTTATTACATTCATTTTCTTTTTTGTAAGCTAATACAAAATAAATAAGATAGTGCTACAATTTTTCCCTGTGCACTCATGCTAATGTGCATCTCGGCTTAGCGTTTCACTCAGGGGATGGCCTTTTTATTTGGTGTCGCTGCCACTAAATTGAATTTTATGTGGCGAATGCCAACTTTGATGTGTGCCTTTATTAATGGTTGGTGGGAACTGTCAGACGGCAGCTTCAAGTGAGTAGATCTGGGGAATGGGAGTAAAAATGGAGTCTAAATCAGCACTGATAGAGCGTCGGCGGAGACTTTACGGTAATTGCAGGCCAAAAACAGGGGCTAAAACTCCGGGACGGGCATGTAAATTCAATGAAATATGGCTTGCAAAAATGCCTCGCACAAGCAACGCCTCAAAATGCCAGCAATGCGCTGTCCACTCGTCCCGCCGACCATCTGACCATCTGGACATCTGGCCAACTGGACATCCGTGAACAGCCATGTGACCATGTGACCATGGGACCAGCTGAAAGGGCGGCCATCGAGCGGCAGCTTGGAATTCCGGGCATAACTTCTAGCAGCAACGAGCAGACGAGCATATGTAAAAAAGCGGAGCCAGCCAGCCAGCGACACATACTCCTAAGTACACACACGAACACACATTGCTGGCGGGTTTCCATGACATAAAAAGAAAAGCGTGCTGGAAAAAATGGAATGGAAAATCTAGCCCAGCCAAGTCTCTAAATTGTGCGGCCCTAAAAGTGTCCGGCGGCAGCACATAATGCTCAAAGGGCGTGCACTTAAAGTAAACTTTGGGCGTGTCCTTGAACTGAAAATTATGCTTGGAGGCAATGAAATAAATATATCATATATTTTGGAAAATGGAATAAAATTAAAAAAGCGTTTTAGTAGTTCCCACCATGTTTGCATACTATATAAAATAAACAAAATAGAATTAAACCTAATATTGCTGCTTCTAAATGTTTTATTTTATAGATAAGGTGGTATGACAAAAAAATTAACAATTCAAATTTGTATAACTATTTGTATGCCTTTTTAATATTTTTTCCGATTAGCTTTCTTTGCATTTCTTCAACTTAATCAGCTTTGAGTATCACTTTGAAAATTAGTTTATTTATTTTTCTCACAGTGCACAACCTCTCACACGCACACACACACACACACACAAATCTGTCTGTGTCCTTGCCACATGCAACGTCTGCTGGAGCTGCTGATGTTGCCCAATGGCCGCAAGAAATTTTAACACAATTGCTAGAAAAATTGCAGAAAATTGAAAATGTGCGAGAGCGCATAAATTTTTACTGCGTCACTTGTGAATGCTAAATTGTTGTTATTTATGTTGGCACTAGGAAGCCAAGGTTCCCCTCTGCTTTATCCCCCCAATCCCAATCTCTTCCAGTAAATAAAAGATACCACTTCTAAAAGAGTTAAAGACACAAATCGATTTCATTTCGCACGTCACTTGGTTTCCTTCACTGGCCAACGGAGATTTGTTGCAGTCTTCGGTGGTGAACCAAAAACCAAACCGAAGTCGGCAACAAAACTCTGCTGGAGTTCAAGGTTACAGGATATAAAGCGGGTAAAATAAAAGTTTACGATTATCAATTTTCATATAAGCCCTCGCTTGAGAACATGAAAGCCAGTTCGTGCGAAGAGGCAAAAGAAATTGCAGCCAAAGTGAGCCATCGAGGAAACGATCAGCAGGCCAACGCCCAAGGACATGGCTTCATCCTGGTGGTTCTCCAGCCAATTGAGAAGCTTTCGTCCTGGCTGTGCCACCAGCTGCATTTGCTTCTCAGCCGCATGTTCATCACAACTTTGGCCGTAAATTAGCAGGTAGGATATCTGCATGGTTGCCGCATCCTTGATGATCACGTGCTTCTTATCCGGACTGGTTTCGTTTTCCTGGAAAACAAATTCTACGATGGCAACGCAGCGAAGAATCGAACCGCATTTGGAGCCACCCAAACCGGCTTGAGGTTTACTTTTAGCCAGAGCCTCATTCACATCGCTGGTTAGTTTTAAGCACTTTCCATCGGTTAGGCAATTGTGGTTTAGCAGAGCATATAGCTTTTCTAGTTTACAGCCAAAGAATCCTAGTCGGACGGATTCCTTGTTGTCCTGCCGCAAACGAGCATATGCTTCAACCTTCTGGTTTCCCCTACCCATTCTTACCTCAAAGATCTGAGTGGGTGGACAACGAGGAGGTTGCATTCCCAAATGAGAGTACAACTCCCCAAATTCACAAGGTCGCAGAGAGCTCAAGGAGACGCGATCGGCTTGATCCACCAATATATCCGTAAGCAAACGAACCACATTGGAGGAGCAAGCCTGATAATCGCAGTGCCTCAGCTGCTGTTGCAACACCTCCAATCTGGGGGCTTCCCCCAAAGTATTACAGAGCACATCTATGGTGCTCCAATGGCTTAAAAATGGTCTCAATCTCGTCCTGTAACGATAACTCCATGCAGCGGCCACAAATATCGTCCACAGAGCTTCACAGCCCAGAAAGTCTTCCTGAAGACGTCGATACACAAGATTCAGTGCCTTCATATCGAGAAATGCATTTGGTTTTCCCGATTTTACCGGCAAAACAATAGATTGCGGCAGTAGTGCCACCAAACGCCGCCAACTGATCCGTTTCGCTGGTTTTTGACTTTGAAACCTATTCGATGAGGCTCCCGAAAGCAGAGTCATTTTCACCGGATTTGGATTTCCCTTCAGAGACCGAAATTTTGAAATTATTTCGCAGAGTTTTCGACAAGCCGTCGGGCATCAATCTAAGCCTCCGACAATCTCGACAATCGAATGAAGTGTGTCGCCCAGGTGGCAGGTCGGATGATTGCCCGCACTGGTTGCAGGAGATTGAATTTCGTCCTGGAATGCACTTGGAAAAAAACCTTTCGAGTGCTGGGCTTCAGACTATTAAATTGCTTCTTGAAACTTAAAACAAATTGCACTTTTTAAGACAACAAATTTTGACGTTAGAATCTTTTTTGTAGAACATTTAGATTTGAACTAATAGGATCGAGATAGAAAGTTTTTTAGAAAACTTTGGTATTTTACTTCTAAATGAAAATATTCATAATTACTTTACGAAAGAATGGATTATCATTTGTATCAGAATCGTAGATATTTTACTTCATAAAATACATTGTTTTGCATTAATCTTATGTACCTATATTTTTAGAAAAATCAACATTTTGGTTTTATTGCTCAAATAATAAGAGCTTCAAAACGTTTAAAGAAATATTCCACGTTTTGTATAATTTGTATTAATTATTTAAATTAGTAGCTAAAAATTTAGTTCAAAGTTGTCATAAATAAACACAGTTTCGAGTATACCTTTTTATTACCTTCCAGCATTTTACCATTAAAACTAAACCAAAAATACTGCAAAGGTTTTGATAGGACATAAAACATAATGTAGCGTTTTCTAATCCTATTTTTTCTAGTGTACGCCTAGTAACAGTTGGCAAGCGAGATCTCCGCCGGATGGGTTATGGTTGGGTGGTCCTGTGGGTGGTTGCCTGGTCGGGCTGTAATTGATTAATGGAGCCTGATGTCGAATGCCTGATGCCTGCTGTCTGCCGCTTGACGTTCAACGCTCGACGTTCGACGGTCGACGCTCACCTTATGTCGGGGTGACTCGACCTGGGCGTTCCGAGACGAACTCCGAGCAGCTGGCGAGGAGTGGAGTGGTCAGAGTTGCATCATAGCTACGCAGTTAATTGGATACTTTTTCAATACTTTTATCTCCGGCAGCAACCCCCTGTCCCCTGTCCCTTCGCCTTTCCAACCCTACAGCTCTCCACCTGCTGCTGCATGCGTAATTTATTGATATACTCCGGCTAAATTATGAGTCTCCTGGGGGGCGCGAACGAACGAAATAATTTTTTTGTTTCCCCACTTTTTTCGGGGAGAAGGAGGCTGCAGGTGTGTGGGGCTGTGTGGAAATCAGTTAACCGAAAAAGTTTGCAACTTTTTGCCGTGCTCGCTGCCTGTGAAATCAAAGTTGGAGTTTATTCAAATAAACGCCGACATTAAGAGAGTTGCAACTGTTGCGTTGCGTCGTCGGAGGCGTCTCCTGGCATTCGGAGGCATAAATCAGAGCCAACAGCCGTGGCAACTTTTTTCCCAGATAAACTTTTGACGTCATTTAACCCTCTTCTTTTTTTTTTTTTTTTTTTTTTTTTGTGCTACTGCTGCTTTTTGGGGGTGCCTGCAATGTTATTAATATGCCCAAGTTTCTTTTGGCGTTGTCAATTCCCCGGAGGCGCTTCCTGCTAAATAATTCCTGTTCCCATCGATTTCCCGCCACCAGGACAAACAAATGTCTTTAAAGGATTTCCCTCGTTTATTACACACTAAATGAGGTCCCATTTTTATGTGCTCTTCAAAGGCCAAACTTCGTAGGTGAACAGGATGTGATGTGATAGGAAAACTAGCGGAAATAGTAAGGCCAAAATTAAAAATAAAATTCATTATACAAATCTGATTTTGAAATCAATTATAAACGATAGTGTGAGAAATCAAATTTTTGTGTTAACACGCATGAGCTATCTTTTTTACATAAATAACTATGGTAATAATTGCTGCCACTCTATTCTTCACATTAATCCGTTTAGCGGCTTTTCAAAACAAATTCCTTAAACTTAAGCAAATTAAAAGCTGGAGATGGATAAATACGACTTTACGGACTCCACAATCCGCTCCACATAGATGCTGTTGTTGTGCAGGACAAATAGCAAATTTCGCAGCGGCAATGAGTTCTGAAAGGCAGAAGATGAAACGCGAATCAGTGCGGCGAAATCAATTATCACAAACACTCAGCATCGCATCGAATGGCTGATAAATATATATGGGCACAGGGACTGGGGAAAATAAATATAAATTGCCTGCTGGCTGGCGATTTGATTTCATAAATATGTGCCTCACGTAGTCCAGCTCAATTGCCAATTAGAAGCGAGGCGAAAGGAAAAAGCAGTGGTAAAAGCGGCAGAAAGAACATAAAAAGAAAAGGCGGTGGCACTTGAAAATTCTGAGGCATCAACGGAAGTTGATTTGTATACGGAATCGCATATAAAAGTTGCCCACTTTTAACCTGCACCTTTCCTGGCCAAAACTCAATAAAGCAATCGGAAATTTTTCTCACGTCTCTCTGGGAAATTATTATGGAGCAGTCGACGAAGGCCGTTTCAAATGGAATTCTTTAAACAATTTTCCCCAGCATCGACACAGCCAAAGGAGTTGGGGGAAAATGGGGAGCTGGAATGCTGGGGCTCGAGCAAACAAAGCGTGTCCCCAACTGAAATACAATTACCACATGGGGGACTTTGCTCTTCAAACTCACCTGCAGGCCGCTCAGAATTTTGGCAAACTTCGGACTGCTAATGCTGTCGACGAATGCCGCAAACTGTTTGTTGCTCTCGAACTCGTCGAAAAACAGGGCGTACAGTTGGTCCTGCGGCAGGATCTCCAGGACCCGCTCCACCATTCCGTGGAGACCCGTTTGGGGCTCTCCTGGGGCGGCGTTGACTTCCTCGGTGATTGCGGCTTTGGTTGGCTCTAATAAAATGTTATATTTTTAATATTTAAAGATGAAATTTTTCGTATGACAGTGCCGCTAAGGCTTTTGGTACATTTTCAAAACAATTTGAAATTAATGCAATAAAAAACCAGCTGGAGGTTGTACACTAACAAATTATATTAACAAAATTACTACTGAGAATTATTTTTATTGATTAGTTTTTTCAATCTATCCCATCAATAAATCTAAAAAAAAAAAAAATACTTAAGAAAGTTTACTTGATAGGTAAAAACCGTTATCAAATTAATTTTTATATAAAACTTATTATTTTGATGAACCAAAATATATAATTTCACTTTTAAATAACAAATTGCATTTTGATTATTACGTTGTTGAAATCATAATAATAATTTATTTTCTGTGCACTATAAGTTTTTTTTTTATTAAAATTAATTTTTTTTTTCTTCATTTGATTGAATTTGTTAATAAATGTATGAATTATAAAAATTAAATTGGTAATGAACCATAATAACCAATACTCATACGCACCGTTGACGACATTAACTGTGCTCAGAACGGAAGGTTTGAACACCGCAGCCACCGAATGCATCACCTTAATCACATCCAAGCCGTGGGTATCCAGATAGCTGGTGAACTCCAGGACTTCTGGGAGCTGGAGGATCTTCCGCTTGATATCCGCAAAGAGGGGACTGGCGAGGAAGGCATAGGCCTTTTGGAACTCCACGTCGTGTTGGTAGAAGTGGGCAGCTATGGACTGGACTTCCTGCAGGGGTATCAGAGCCACAAAGGCGCTCAAATCGAGGGAATTGTTCGAGGAATTCGGCTTTTTGCGACTGAGGAATATCAGGTCATCGGAGGCGTTGCCTTGGCCACTTTCGTCACTTTCATCGCTGGCATTTCCATCGAGGGTGACGAATCCAATGCCGCTCACATCCGATTCGTCACTATCCGGAGTGATTAAGTCGCCCTGTGGATAACCCCTCGAAAAGGAAACGCCAGCGGTACAAACAATGAAAAGTAGGAGGTGAGCGCGGTTCATTCTGCCGATGTGATCTTCTCCACCGATTCCGAACTTCTGGGCTGCCTCTTCTCACGGCTTTTTTGTCCGCCGGCTTGTGGAGACTTTGGAGACTTTCCGGCACTCTGACAATCGTTTTGTCGCAGCGATTATTTAATTGAATCAGCAGCATTCAACAAAAACACTCACTTGCCGGAGGGGAATTCATGACCGAGGTGCAACCAAGAGAGGTCACAACACTCTGATAATAATTTAATAAATGGGTATTTCATTTGGGAAAAAAAAACACCATGTTTTGTATGAAACAGTATTTTATAATGAAATTGCAATAGTTAAATGATAGTTTATAAAATGTAGATTAATTCTTTGTTCATTAATGAACAACAAATACTGGTCCTCTCAAATAACACAAATCAAGATAAAGAATAGTTTGGGAAAATAATAAATAAGTACACATATAGAATGTTTATCCTTTTATAATATTTAAATAACAAAAGTTTATTCCTAACAAAGAAAGAATTCTTCCTCTAAATCAGACAGCTGTTTGTTTAAGTGCAGTTCAAGGCTGGAGTAAATAAAATATTGATTTATATGGCTAATCGGTGGCAGCGATTAGGCCATAAAACAAGGCTTCGGGCCATGGGAACCCCACTGCCTCGTCGATGTCCTCTTCCTCGTCATCGTAATTTATCCAAATGGTCGGGTTTCCTGTGGGCTTTTTGGACAACTGCATTTCCGCCGATGCAAATCAAAGAAGCGCACACCCAGAAACCCCAGTTTGCGGGTGTTTGAGGGTGAAATTCACACTTTGACAGCTGGCAGGAGTGTCATATGGTTAGTCACTGTATGTGTGTGTGGCACTCAGTCACGCAGTCATTCAGTCAGTCAGTCAGTCAGTCAGTCAATCGCTCAGGCGCCCATTCAGGTCTCGTTTCCAGCTCGCTCGCTTGTCAAACTGTGCATAAAATATGTACATGCATATGTCCCATCCCGCACACACACACACACACACATACGAACACTCGACTGATATATATTCATTTGCTCATTCAGCAAGTTAAGTAGGAATAAAATTGTCAATTTTCATGTCATTATTTCATGTCGTCGTCGCCGTTTGCCGTCAACTGTGACACTCTCCACTCGCGTCGCAGTGTGTTTTCGGATATGATTTATTCACTTGGCTTGATTTATTGCGAAGCCCACTCACCCACTCGCTGCCTGCAAATGCCGCAGAATGTAAATGCTGGTGCTGCCTACAAGCCAATAATAATTGTATCGTTGTCAGCGTCAGCCGACCGAACTTTAGTTGCACCGCAATTTTTTACATAAATTATTTGACTAAGCCCTCGACTTGATTAAAACTTGGCCTATACCAGCCATCTATCTCCCTCCCCTCTCTCTCTCTCTCTCTCTCTCTCTCTCTCTCTAACTCGCTTTTGGCCCGGTCGTAACGTATGACACTTTGTGAATTCGGAGCGCAAAGTTTTGAGGGCTCAAAGTTTGCCGGTGTCGGTTTGGCCGGAGCCGTAAACAATTGGCCGGGCAAGTTATCCTGCACTCCAAGAAATCGCAACTAATTGGATTTTAAGTTTTTGCAATTATAATTTACGCAGGGAAACTAAATTGGAAGGTTGTGACAATTCTAAGCTTAACTGCGTATTAGGTTTTCCCATCTATTCCGTGGTATAAGTAGCCATACGTTTCAAGTTATTCCATTTACTCAAGGGTATATTTTTAAAAAAATACTTGGCTAAAATATTATTAAGGAGCTGCTTTTGTTTTAAATTGAACCATGACGATGCATTGCATACTTCTTTTTGTTTTAAAGTGCAGAAACCTTTAGATTTGTATTTACTTGATGAGTAAACCTTTACTCTTCTGAAAAACTGTTAGTTTTGAAAGAACGTTTCTTGTTTTAAAATTTCCCAAGCCCCTGAATAAATCCCACATATCCTGTACAGACTTTCTTCAAGTGTGCTGAGCGGACCGAACTTATAAATTAATTTTGCCCCGGCAGAATACTTCAGCATACCTCAGCTGCCATAAAGGTGGCTGCTACAGGCGGCCCAAGTTGGCGGCGACTTAATTAACTGCAGTCCGGCAAAGTCAGCGGTACACACGCACCTGAGGCCGCAGGACGAAGGACGAAGGACGTAGTGCATCCTGGCAGGCGGCGGATGGGGCCACCACTCGCAGTTAATTTCATGCTGCCTGGCTTTGGCTTTGCAGAAACCCCCATTTCACCTCGGCGCCATGTGTTTTAAAGTGATTTTCTTGGCCAGGCGCCTTTTGTTTATGTTGCGGCATAAGAGCTCCGCTTTACCGCAAGTGTCAACATTTATTTCCAACTTAACACTTTTGGCGTAACATGGCGCTTAATCCGCAGCGCCAAGTCGAGCCGCGCCAAGAACTTGACTAATTTTGTGCAAAGTTCAGCATTAACATTACCGCAAATTAGCAAAAGTTTTCGCACAAACAGCCGCAGCGCAGAAAAACAAAAAAAGGCTCAAAGTGGGGAGCTCCGGAGAAGAAGTAAATCCGATTGCAGGGATTGCATGGTGGGAAATCCTGGGAAAGGCAAAGGCAGAGGGAAATGGAGCTGGGAAGACGAACGGGCTGCAGGGAGCTCTTTGAGTTGTGGCATCAGCAGACGTTGCCTGTAGTATCTGGGATGGTTCACTGACTGCCATAAATTAACTTGTCTAGGCCCGATTCCTTGCCAGGCGGCCTGTCCCCGAAACTTCTTGCCAGATTCACCAACTGGAGCATCCATCCCCTCCCCATCACCCCGTCCCCATCCCCCATTCCCCTTGAGCTTGTAATCTGCTTCACACTTAATGTTTTCTCTTGCCAGTTCGCTTTCCACTCTGGTTGCACGTAGGAAAAATTGTTGTTTAATTGCCGGCTACATGTTCACAAAATCGAAATGTCAGCAGATTAGTAGGCTACTTAAAACAAGAACGAATGCTTTAACCTGTAGTTGAAAAGAGATTGAAGTTTGGTTTAAGTTTAGTAACCATGAACCAAAGGAAGAAATCTTTAATACCAGTTTTACCAGCTTTATTTTGATACAAATCTAGGGTACATAACATTTAAAAACTTATCGCATTTAATGGCAATTTTTCCTTAAAAACTTGTTCTTTTACATTAAACTAACGAATTATATAAAGAAAATCAATTATTAATTAAAGCATTGTATACCAATAAAAAGTTCATTTTCCTTAAATTGGTATAATGAACCTATTTTTTTAAGAGTAAACGTCAAGAACTTTTAACTAATATTTGAAAAACAATTAATTTAATCGTTCCAATAGATTTAAAATATGTTGAGTTAAGCTGAAAAGAAAGTTTATGTTGATTCCGGCACCTGAAAAAGTTGTTCCTTATTTAAATCGAGTCCCATAAATGGACAGCCTAGTTTTTTGGGGACAACCCAAGCTTTAATAAATACCTATTTATATGTGCCGCTTGTTCCCCCACTGTGACATTTTGATTACGATATGGGTTATTTATAGATAGACAGATCAATCGATATGTACTTTATCCACGCTGACTTGTCCCGTCAGTTGTCAATCAATTTTTCGGGTTTGGCTTTGGCTTTGGTTTCCATCTGCTGCCCGGTCGAAGAAGGATGTCAGTAAACTGTAACGAAAACAGAAAACAGAAATTATGTCCTTACACACAGGTCATCGTCGACTGCCAGCGCAACCTTCAATCAATTGGGGCCTCGGTTATTTTTGGGGGCCGGGGATCCCCGTCCTTCAGACTGAAGAGCAGAGTGTTCCAGCGCTTTTGACACGTTTGGCAAATATTTGAGCACGTCTAAAAGCGCGTTTCGGTCGCCAGCAGGCGTTCAATATTTTTCCGAGCAGCGCAGCGCAGCAGCCTCAGATGACCGATTTTCACCGCTTTTCCGCCCGCCCACTTTTCCGAGCGTAGCTCTCTGCACCGCCCCTTTTTTTGCCCATCGCGTGGCAGTGCGTGCTTTGCCCTTGGCCTGTGGCTTAATTAATTTTCGCTTCCGTTAACAATTTTTATGCGGACTTGGCTGCTTGGGAGCGCTTCGCATGCGCTGATTTCGTGTTTATGGGTCCTTTAATTCGCCACTAATACGGCTCCGTTTGCGGCGGAATTATTTGCCGGATACATGCGATTAGTTTTGCCCAGATTGCGAATAGTTTTCGCTCTCCATTTTGCAAGCGTGCAACAAGTTAATTACATAATTCAGCCAGCCCACGCCTGCACTCGCTTTTGATATTTATGTCGGACCCGGGGCACTTCCGATATAAGCCAAATAAACACTAAATTCCGGTTAAATAGGCAACGACACCAGCAGAAGCACCGGAAGCTTGGTCAAAAGAAGTATTATACAAAATTAAATAAAATAAAATAGCAAAGCAGCAAAAGTAGGAGCAGCAGCGGCAGCATCAAAAAAAAAAAAAAAGAGGGAGACTTAAAAAATAAGCTAAAAGTCTTTTGAAGTTGCCAAAGTAAAAGCGGGGGGAAAAATTGGATGGAGGATGGAAAAAGCAGGCAAACAGCGCGATATAAAGTTGGGGCTTTTTGGCTTTGACGCACGTAGCTCCCGATTTGAAAGTTTGTCGTGTGTGCTCTGTATATATGTACGTACCAGTATATGTTTATATACGAACAACAAGGAATCGACAGAATTTTCCCCCTTCCCTTCCCTTCCCTTTACTTCGCTCCCTTCGACGCTTCAGCGTTGGCTGCATCGCTTTTATTAAGCTTATAAATTTTTTATTTAAGACTTTTCACTTTGAGCAGTTTTGTGCAAGCCTCGGGGCCAAAGGCAAACAGCAGCAACACCGACAGTCATGTGACATTTATTTGAGTTGCGCCAGGAGCATTTCGCATTTCACATTCAACATTTAAGAGGAGAAACCCACTCCATTGCACTCGCTAACCCTTCGAGGCCCATAAATTATCCAAATAGTTAATGCCGAAATTGTGAAATAGTGTGACACTTTCATTAAATGCCCAGAGCGGCGAATAAATGGAGAATTTCAATAAAAATGCCAAAATGCACCGGCCACGACATGCGATGCGAAAGCATTTGATAAACTGCAACAATTTCCCCAAGGGTTGACCACTTTTTTACGGCAGCTGGCCGCGAATATTCGGCTGGCAATGCGACTAAATCCATATGCAGTTTATTCGATTTGATTTGTGGCCTGCTAAACTTTTCAACTGAAAACTGTACCAATTTCGGCCATTTTGATAATAAGATGCTGGCATCGTTTATTTGTGTTTGGGTGCACAGGGAAAAATATAGTAGGCTAAACAATAAAAAAAAAATAATAATAATGGTTAGAATGTTAGTGAAATAAATGGAAACTTAACAAAGCTACAAAATAAATGTTTTTAAGGATGATAATTTCGGCAACAGAAAACTAACTTACGTTAAAGGAACCCTAGTTTTTGAAAGATATTGAAATTAATAATATCTGAACAAATATTGATGATTTAAAGATCTACATCAATATTAAATAAATAATAAAAACTAATTTACAAAAGTGGGATCTGTTGACGTTATTTCTATTCATTTCATATATATCCATATCTCTGAATTTATTATAAATAATTGAAGTTTATTGTATTTTAGTTTTTCTTTTTTTTTTTTACAAACATTTTTATTGTGTTGACATTTTGCCATGTGTAGTATGTCAGTTTGTAGGGTCCTAAAAAAGCGTCACGTGGTGCATATAAATTGCCAGGTTTCGAAACTTTTCCGTAGAGGTGCAAATTACTTTTGTTCTTTTCTGTTCGCTCTTAGCGTATTTTTTGCTCCTTTTTTCCCCATTTTTTTATTTGTTGGCTCACCTGACAGTTGTCAAGCATCGAATTGAGCAGAGTTTTTGGCATTGCCTAAGCGTGCGTGTGAATGACCAAAAACTGGACACGGACGCACAAGTATTTATAGCAGGCGACTATCGCATGTATGTGTGGTCAAAGGAAATCAATTTCCATATGCAAAACTTTTTTAGTGCACGTACTGGTCGGAAGGGAGCCGAACCGAAATCGAATTTTGTCCATAAAATATTCAAATTGTTCTGTATAAACGACGCATAAACATTCTTTGTGCAGGAAGGGCACCTGCAGCGCCACTACCACTTCCACTTCCATTCCCAATGCCATTCCCATTTCGATCCCGCTCGAATCGCATAAATTTTTATGTTCAAACGCCAAAGGCCGTAGGCAGGCGATCGCTTAATGTGTCCCGCGGCAGAAATTCAATTTGTAGCACATCCGTGGCCGAAAAGGAAAAGGTGGAAAAAAATAAGCGAGTGGAGCGAGCTGCAAATGCGAAAAAAGTGCAAATGTCCAACTGTCCAAAGGAGCAAGGAGTAGGGAAAAGGGAGCAGGGAAACGGGAGCAGGGAAAAGGGAGCAGGAAAAAGGGAGCAGGAAAAAGGGAGCAGCGAAAGGGAGCAGGAAAAAGGCAGCAGGACCAGTAGGGAGCAAGGAGCAAATAAAGCCAAACAAAACAGGAGCAAAAGTCTCCTCAGGAGAACTGAGAAAAACACTGCCTGACTGCTGCTGCTACTACTTTGCTATGCGAACGATTGATTGAAAATTGATTTCATTATGAACTTGTGATGCATACACGCCCAACCACCCACCACCCACCATCCAACACCAACCACTCGTCCTTGGAACCACATATCCTTCAACACCACCCGGCATTCCCACAGAGTTTTGTGCATCTCGGCAGATAATTGGATTTCGGAAGGTTGAACCCAGAACCCGGAACCCAGAACCAAGAACCCAAGTTCGAGTCCTCGTAGTGTGTATTGTGCATTTCCACTTCCAATTAGTTATGGAATTTTTGCTGTGTTTAAATTTTTGTATCCCCCGGTTAGTCTTATCGGAATGTGTAAGTTGAGAAGGGAAGCTCTTTTTGGCCGGTTGGCTGGCCGAATCCCCAGTTTTTCCCAGACGCAGTCCCAGGAAATTAAGCCGCTTATGGCCGGGCCATTCGGTTCCTTTTGTTTTTTAATGCTCAGCCATGCCTTCGCCCTCGTTGGTTTGGGCCAAAAAATATTACTCCGCTGCCGTTCCACTTAAGATTCCGGCGGCCAAGTGCACTTGTGCCGGCCACAAATGGCAATGGCCGTGTTGTCTGTCGCGCGTATTTAGCATAAAAGGTGCGGCCAAGACTTTGGACGGCTCGGCGGGCTTTTGATGTTCGCCAACCCACCAACCCACAGCCCCTCGACATTGTTGATATTTTGCATCAAAATTCTGACAAACTTGTTTACCGAGTGAGGGAGGATGGGGTATTGGGGGGGACTGGAAGATGGCTAGATCCGAGGCGGAAGTGGCGACATTTTAGGATGTCACTCTGAGTTTGAGGTCGCCGCAAAGTGCGCAACACAATTTGCATAATGCCCGGTGGGACGGATGGATGTGGCTGCGGATGTGGACGTGGATGTGGGTGTGGGTGTGGGTGTGGATGAGGTGGTGGGGGATGGCGGGATGACGGGATAGAGATGCTGGATGCGGTCTCGAATTTGGAATACGTTTCGGGTTGCTGCACTGAGGGAAAAACTTTTTAATTAAATTCAGAGCAATGCCAGAATTTCCATTACGTAAATGAACTCTACAAACTACACAAATTGTTCACTTTATATTTGAGTTATAAGCATTTTTATAAGAGTATATATTAAATTATGATTAAATAATTCCCATTTTTTAATTTTTTTTCTATAATAATATAATTCTACTCGGCTAAAAGTCCACAAACCTTAAGCAATTTAATTTTATTTTAATTAGCTATTGGAAATAAAGAGCTGAAACATAGATTTGAAGAAGGTTTTTAAACTATATTAAAGAAAGTTGTATATCAGTAAATGAATTACAAATCTGTTAATAAACGTTTTTAGTCTTTAACGTGGGACTAAGTTGTAATTAAGAATATATATATTTTAACCTTTATCGTGTTTTGAAAAAAAAATTATATTATCTAGTACATTTAATGTTTGCCAATAAATACAAATATTTATTATACATTTTACACATTGAAGCTAAATGCATAAATGAACTTATGCATGATTTGCATCTTGTTTAGCAAATTAAGAATGAAATACAATCCCAAAATGAAAGCATGGTATATTCAAATACATTTGTGTTATAATAATATATAATTTTTTTTTTTATATTTCAAATTTCCAAATTTTATATGACTTTCCTTGCTGACAGTGCATGCAAATGAGTGCGGGATTAACAAGCAGGCGGTCTTATCCCGTCAGTATTGGTTCAGGTCTTGTTCGGACTATAATACTCCACACGCACCGTTGTTGTTATACCTTACATATCCTTACATATCCCCCAATACACACACACACACACACACGCGATGAAGAAGACGCCGAGGACGAGTCAGTCGAAGGTCGAGAAGAAGCAGAAGGAGGAGAACCAGGTGATGTGCGTGAGCGACTTCGAGAGGATGCAGAGGATCGAAACGATGCCGCGCCGCGTAGACACCTTCTGGCGGACGGACTGCCGGACTCCGGCGTCGAGGCTCAACGGTAGCTGGATGCTCCACAGCAGCAGATTCAACAAGGGACTCGCCTTCACCCTGAATGAGAGAAGGGTGCTCTCCATCCACGGACTGCTTCCCGTGGCAGTGCGCACCATCGAGGAGCAGGTGATCGTCATCCAGAAGATCCTGGATTCGATGACCACAGAGACGCAACGGTACCTTTTCCTGAACGACTTGTCGAGTAAGAACAGGCGGCTCTTCTACCGCGTCCTGCTGAGCAATCCCGATCACTACGTGGCCATGACGGACGCCTCGGCCTCGGCGGCTCTGCTCAAGATCCACCGGATCCTGCACATTGTCGGCCAGGGTCTGTACGTCACCATCAAGGATCTGGGCCACATTCCGCAGATCCTGGCCAACTGGCCGATTCGTGTCGTGCGCATCCTGATGGTCAGCAACGGAGCCTCTGTTCAGAGTCTCGGTGATCTCGGAGTGGATGAGATGCCCGTCCTATTCTCCAGAGTTCACAACAACGTGATCTACGCGGGCGTCCATCCGGACTTTTGCCTGCCCGTCATGCTGGACGTGGGCACGAACAACGAGGAGCTCCTGCAGGACCCCATGTACACGGGATTGAGGGAGCACCGTGGCTCGGATGAGTTGTACGACAAGTTCTTCGAGGAGTTCACCATGGCAGTCACTCAGCAGTATGGCTCCCATGCTCTGATACTCTGCATGGATTTTGAGGCCCAGAAGGCCAAGAAGCAGTTGGAGTTGTACCGTTCGAGGCAGTGCATCGTGGACGTGGACTTCCAGTGCTTGGCAGCGGTGGCTTTAGCTGGAGTTATTGTGTGCAACCGACTCAAGAGAACCTTCTTCTCATCCAACGTTTTTCTGTTCTATGGAGCCGATGCCATTAACATTGGCATGGCTCGATTGTGCCGGGCCCTCCTCATAAGGGAAGGACTAATGGAGGCGAAAGCGCGCGAGCGGATTTGGTTCTGCGATGCCAACGGATTGGTAGTGGTGGGCAGGCCAGAGATACCCGAGGAGCTCCTGGAATTCGTCAGACCCCGGGAGCCGATTTCCAGCCTGGTGGAGGTGATCGAGCAGCTGAAACCCAATGTTCTGGTGGGTGGTTCCTCGCAGCCCAACAGCTTTACACCAGATGTCCTTCGGGCCATGGAAAGGAGTGCCGAACAGCCCATAATATTTGCTCTTTCGAGACCTCAACAGCAGGCGGAGTGCACGGCGGAGAATGCCTTTGCCTACACAAAAGGTCGCTGCATCTTCATCTCGGGATCGAAGTTGCCGCCACTGAAGTACGCCAATAAGTGGTATCAACCGGGTCACTGCACCAGCAGCTACTTGGTGGCCGGAATAAGCTATGGAGTGATGCTGGCCGGGTTCACCACCGTTCCGGATGAGGCCTTCTGCGTGGCCGCCGAGCGATTGGCCAGCTTGGTTTGGCCCTGCGACCTGGAGAAGCGGAACGTCTATCCGCCGATGAGGAAGATCCAGTGCATCAGCCTGCAGATGGCCGAGGCCCTCTTCACGTACGCCTTCCGGCGAGGATTGGCCACCTTGTGGCCCCAGCCGGAGAACCCCATGGAGTACATCAAGGCATCGATGTACAATCCCGATTACCGCAAGAACCTGGTGGAAGTGTACTGCATGCAGAGCCGCAGTATCGCCACCACCGAATCCCTCAAGTACTACACACTGAACATCTAGGACCTATACTTACTGAAACCATTATTAAATCGAGTGAACTGGTGAGACGGCGAACCGGGATTAGGGTGGCTCCAAAGGGGGGTATTAGGGTGGCTCTAACGGGGGTCAAATTGCATGGCGTATCATGTCTAATAACAGTTGTTTGCCCCGTCTGCATATTGATTTCGATTCGAACCAAAGTCGGAGCACAAGTACGCCGCCGGGCAATTAATTGCATGCAATTTTCATGTGTCAACTCATGCTGTGTGGTTATATATAGTACATACGTATATATATTTCTGAACGGGTGGTGCTTTGACTGGTTTCGGGAACTCTCCAGTGACTCTGCATTCGAAACTATCGCCGTGCGACAATAAAATAATTGAAACAACCACCATGAAATGGTAGGAAACAAACATGGCCACAACAAAAATGCAGACAAATTAAATTGCCCGAGTGCTCGATTGTGTGTGTGTGATGGTGTGTGGGTGTGTGTGGATGTGTGTGGATGTGTGTGCGTCTGGCTTTGACAGGTGTGCGTCTGAGCGAAAGCATGATATTCCATTCCATTTATCAATACGGAAAATGAAATGCAACCCGGCATTGTGTCGTTTTCCCCTTTGTCACACTGAGTTATTTGCTTAGGTTTTTTACTGCATTTTCCGGCCATCGCTTATCGGTTGGCCTTTTGGCATGAATGGAACCCAGCTGGAATTTTCATTAGCCACATGTTATTACAAGGCAACAGAACTTGACTTTGACCCTCTTTGAACCTCTTCAACACCGCCATGGAGTTTTGATTTTATTGGACTTGTGTACATTGAGTTCTTGGTTTAGGTTGGACCCCAGGAGATGACTTCGTATCCAATCGATTTCAGCTCCTGGCTGTTGATGGAGTGTCCCGAGAGCTCTCGAACCACGCTCTGCACATTGGTTGAGCTCTGAAATCAATAAAGCATATAAGTTTATAAACAAAGCAAACGTTAAGCCTTTTGCTTGACAAAGAAAATGTTCAAATTTGCATTTACGTTTTGAGGGTTTCTTTTAAATTTATATTTAAATACCACTTTTTAGAGTCTGTATGCGATCAAATAAAAAAGACAATATTTACAAGATAGTTATTAAAATAAAATGATTACAGTTGAGCAATCAAATATTCTCAATCAAGCCATTTAAGCCGGTTACTTCCTTCAAACACTTCTTCTATAATACATATTCTTTTGCTTTTGAACTTTAGTTTTCGTTAATATATTTTCTTTATATAATAAGGGTTTTTGTTTTCATTTCGCTCTTGAGCTTTTTCATTACCTATAAATATTTTAATGTTTTTTATTAATTTATCTCTTACCCAAGCCGCTTCAGATTTTGTTTTGAATTCCGGACTTTTAAGGGCCTGATAGAACTTTGCAAATATCGGGCTTGTCTTCCTCTTTTCGTTTATTAAAGCCACAAAGCGATCACGGGGCAGATGAGTAAGTAGTTCTTCCACAAAGCTTGTAAACGAATTCAGTTGCCTAACAATAAAGGTTGGCTGGAGTAGTATTACAACGATCTCCTCTCTGATTTCTTCACCAGCAGAGCGGCGACTTCTGATATAATTGTCATGATAGAGAAAGTGTTTCCTCACTTCTCCTGTGGCCGTGTCATTGAGGTGCACAAAATTAATCAGATCCACAACTTCTGGCAGAGATTCAATGCGGTGTTGTAACCTCTTGAAATCGGAGCTGCGCAAAAACTTAATGGCTTTGCGAAAGCCGGAATCCGTAATCATGTGCTCGGCTACTATTTCATCGATGGTTACACTGGGGATCAGCTTTTCAAAGTCTTTTAGCTCGCTTATCAGCTCCGGAGAGTATTTCAGTTTTCTGTGATAGCGAAAACTGCCAGAAACTAGGACAAGGCCAAGAAGGAGGAACTGTATCACTATCCCCAATGTTGACATTTTTTCAGAAGCTCTATTTGTATATTTGGTAAATGGGAATTTCTTTTGAATTAATCAGTGTTACTCGGTCAGCGGCTTGTTTGTTACTAATACTTAAATTACTTGAGACGAAATAAATATTGCCGTCCGCTTGGAAAAACAAACAAATTTTAATGTGCTGTTTATACCCTACTAAAATTGACCAACATGATTTTTAGAATATGCTCGATATGAATTGCAATAAGAACTTTCAGCGAAGCAACGTAATAATTATTTTTCAACCTGTAATCAGGTCGGCAATCAGGATAGTCGCTCCATTTCATTAAAATTTTATTTAAGATTTGTTCTTACAACGAACACAACAAATTAAAGAAAGAGTATTTGAAATTCAACTTGAAGAAGTCACTGTTTATGTTAAGTCTCTCTTGTTATCGCTCTTGTTTTATACTCACCAATACTTTGTCCATTAAAAATAAACAAAGTCCCGGAACATTCGAAGTCGAATTCGACTAAGAACAGTTCTGTTCCCGCTGTTCCCCTTTTTACAGTCGACTCCCCAAATAAAAGTCCACACACAAAGATCGGTTTTGCTTATTAAAGAATCTTATCACATTTATTTACTGCATTTTACTTTTATGTGTTTACACCTAATTTGTTTTCTTAATTTGTTTCTGTTATTCTGTTTTGTTGTTTTTCTGAAATACTTTGATAGCTCGTGAACCAATCTGCTTTTGAAATTCTCCGAATGGAACCATGAATTGGATTTATTCGAATGATGGTTAAGCGCAAATCTTCTTTTATTGTATGAATACTTTGTAAAAGTCGTTTATCTATTTATGTATATAATATATTTACCGCGAATATTTAGTTACTTTGTATTAATATTTTTACAGTGAATTGTTCGTTAAGTACTCAATTAATATTAATTTCCATCGTTAATTGCCGCATTGGCAATTTGATTCATATTCTCTGCATGTTTTTCCGAGTTTCCATTTTTATCCTCTTTTGTTTGCTTTTTTCTTTTATTTTTTTACTCAACATCATGTGATTGTCATACAAAACATTTCACATAATCTTTAAATTATTTACAATAAATGTCCAAACAAAAACTCTACTAAAGGCAACGCAAAAACATTTCGTTCATTAAAGTTAGAAGCTCAGAGCATTAGTAGCTTTTAAATATTTTTTGTTTAATAGGTTTCTTTTTGTGGTTTTGGTTTAGTTCATTTACAATGGCAATGCCAGTATGCAATGCTAAAATGTTTGCTTTTATTTCCTTTTTTTTTTTTTGGGTAAGTCCTAAGATGAAAACATTAAAAATTTTGCAGAGAAAATCTTTAGAAAAATATTTTGAGTGTGTGTGGGTGAAGTATTTCTTAAGATTTCCTTTCAGTTGCCTTCTTTTGTTTTATTTTCTTTCGAACAAACCTATTTTGTTTTCCGGGTTGAGTGAAGCGCTTGGGTTTTCCTCGATTTTTGCTATATTATGGCAGTTGTCGCGGATATACATAAATATGTTTACTAAATGCAACGAGTCGTGTTTCGAGTTGAGTTTGAGTTTGAGTTTGTTTCGTGTGTATGAACTTCTGCAATATTACTAAAAACGTATTTATTTGCCACACCAACTTACCTACGCTACGTTCGGGTAAGTAATAATGAGCATGTTGGTCTTAATGCAGTAACTTCATGTATCTAGATTTATTTATAAGTACGCGTATGCATATATATAACTATGTATTGCTTATCGTAAACATTAGGCCAACGCACAATCTATACAAGAGCGAGTTAATGCCGAATAGAGAAGTTCAAATCATAATCGGAGCCGAGTAAAATCAAAACAATGCTGGTTTACTTATCGTCTAAAGCTCTCCTATATACAAGTCGCCCTAGGCTATATACTGAATCTATATAGCCATCGTGCTGTGCGTCATTTGTCCTCAGAAACTTAACTTCCGTTTCTGGTTTTGGCTATCGCAATAAGTTGGTTCCGTACTTGTCTATGACCTAAACAGGGGCAGCTATTCGTGTGTGTATATCTTACGCTAGTTTAGTCGAACAAATATGGCTAAGTAATATACAAATTCGTTTAAGATCTTCCCAACCCCAAACCCGAAATGGCCAAGCGACGAGTTGCCGGAAACTAAACAAATCGAAATCAAAATCAAATCGTTGCGCCTCACGAGCTTGGTTATGCAATGCCTTAGGTCAGATTCTCACTTAGGTGGTTGCAGTTCCATCTGTATCTGTATCTGTAACTGTACTGTATCTGTAACTGTATCCGTATCTGTTTCTGCTTTGCGCATCCGTATCCATATCCGTATCTGTTAGATTAGCTTAACCTTAGGCTCGAAATAGAAATAGTGTCTTCTGTAGGTGTCTTTGTGTGAGTGTAAAACCGTAATTTCCATTTGACTTATGGCAGGATCCTTTTGCTAGTAACTTTTCTCGTTTACTCCTTCTTTGTATATCAGTTAGTTAATGTCGAAAATCATTCAGTTTGACGCTGACAACATCTCGAAACGAAACGAAAGCATGACCAAAAACGCATCGAAATTATCGGAAATATTGTCGATTTTAAAAGCTTAAAAATTTCAGTCTTTGTAGTGGTTTTTCCTTTATATTCCTTCTTTACTTTTTTTTTGTTGTTTTGTTTTGTTTTGTTTTTCCTCAGCTCGGCCCTTGTCGCATTTTCATAGTTGTTCTCCGAATTTTCCTCGGGTGCTTACTGCCTTTCTGCGCCTGCAAACAGAATAACCCAAATAAGGCAAATATGTTTAGATATAGAAAGTGAGATTCAGTGGGCAGCAGAGGGAAAGCGGAAAATCGGGAAGGTGGGGGAGCGGGAAAAGAGGGAAAACGGGGGGTTAGTGTGGGTTGTCTTACATGGGCACTCAACTTACATTTACATTTTAACTAGAAACTTTAGAAGCGAGCAAATATGGTAAGCACGAACATGAAAATGTACAATTTGCGGTGGGCGGTGGCCACGCCCTCCGTCGACGACGACAAGAACTCAAAGCTGTACAAGTACTCTGGGCAGCGGCAACAACAATTTTTGAGGGGCATCAGCAGCAGCCAAGGGGGGCGGGGGGATGGACAAAGGACATTTTCGGTTAGATCTCGTCAGGGTCTACGACTACTAAAACTACAACTACTGGTTATGCAAGGACTGATGACGATGGTTGGGTGTACTGGGCGAAAAATAACCTTCTAAAGTCAAGAATAATTTTGGGATAATATAATGGGATAGTAAAAAAACTATACCTCAGTAGCTAGAGCTATTCTCCTTTTCTTGTAGCTTTTGTTTAAACAATAGCAAATAATACGTTCAAATTGTAAAATGCTTAAAATATGGTTCTGTTTAAATCTTCTTTAAAATCTGTCTTAAAGTTCTTGGTTGAATTTTTAGACTATTAAGTTGCATTTGTACACTCTTTAAGCCATAGGTAGAAACTTTTATGATTTATTTAAGCTCAAGTTCTGAGTAATTTGTATCTTTATTGACAGATATTCTCTTTTCTAAATATATTCTTGATTCTATAAGGATTTCTTCACAGTGTTCTGATTATGCGGGGACTAAAGATAGAATGGGTTGCTCTATATTCTTTGATTCAAGGATACTCACTTCTGGGTCAGACCAGAGCATCGTTGCTGAACACATCGTTCACGTGCTTGCCACTGCTGCTGATTGGTCCTGTTTTGTCCTTGAGGCCGCATTGCTAATTAAAGGAAAAAACAGGGGGAGAGAGAATAAGATGGGGGGAAGCACTTAGATCTCTGCCAGCGAATTACAAAATAATTAAAACTCAAACAGCACCCCCGCACCTGATGCCGAAAAATTAATTAAAACAATTAACGGCAGCTGGCGCTTAAAGCCAGAAATATAATTCCCATGGATACACACCTCCTGTTTGGCCTGCCATTGCTTCATGGCCGATTTGTATTTCTCGAACTCGTTGCACCAGTGCGAGTAGATTTTCTGGTAGTCCTGCTTCTGCGAGGGCGGCGAGCACCTGAATTGCGTAAAAGTGAACAATAAGTTTTTGACATTTTCGCGGAAATTAGGCTGGAGGGGCTTGGGTATTTGGTATTGGGTGTCAGTAGTGCTGCCAAGACGGAGATTTTCTAGTTCAATCACGATTCGGTGGTTGATAACCAGAGGGATATAGCATTTGGTTTGGTAGATATGCATATATATACATATATTCCTTAAGCAAATCAGATCGAAATTCAATCGAAGGGAAATATAAAAATTAATATATTTAATTTTTGTGCCTGACCAAGAATTTGAGTCAATATTTCTTGCTTTATGATTACAACGATGGAATTTTTCTTTAAATGTTGACACTCAAGTGAGTTTCAGAAAACAGGCTTCCCCTTCTTGAAAAATTCTTAATTCAATTAATAAGTCTAAATTATTATAATTTGATTACCATTTTGAGAATATCACAATTGAGGATTATGTTTTAAAATACGTATATTAAAATGTAGCTACTTGGTTCAAATTTATGTTTTCTTAAGTTTATTTAAAATTTAATTCCAATACTTTTTGAACATTCTTAGGTAAACTACATTATTATATTTCCCATTTTATTTTGAGCTTCCACAACCCTGTTTTCCCCCACCCAACTTGGCAGCACTGTCTGGATCTGGCTGACTTGTAGTTCTCGAGCTGACTCACCTGTGGGCGTCCACGGTCACGCCGTAGCTGCAGAGCAGGGTGCCATCCAAGTAGCTGTCGTAGCGGCCGCCGTCGCCCTCGTTCACCGCCAAAAGGACGAGTCCGCCCTCGTTGGTCTCGATGTATTTGGTGGGCGTGTAGCGCACCTCGTAGCTGAAAGACAGAGACAGAGAGAGAGGGAAAGATAGGGACAGATGTAGAGAGATGGCTTTTCAGATGGCTGCTGCGATAGCGCAGGGGATTTTCCATTTTCTATTCGCATTGGAAACGCACAATAAAAATCAATATAAACTGTGTGCGCGAGACACACAGACTTTTCCGACTATTCGCTTGGAAAGTTGAAAGTTTTTCCATTACTTGGGCACCGGCAGCAGTGTAAACGCCAAAAAGCAGACTTCGAGCGCATTTTAAAGTGTCAATTTACCGCAGCATTGGCACGGCTAAGTGAGATGAAGCGGCGTTTCGCTTACACATTTCCCCCTGCCCCTCCCTTTCATTATTCGCTTTCAATTTTCCCGGAGATCTTCGATTCAGATAGATGAGAATGGCGTGGGGTTTCCCCCGAAAACTCAAAACACAATGGTCGACCGACCATTTTAAAGTTACTTCTTTGAAACTTTTCTTTTTGCTGAAACTAATGGGTTTGGGTTACCATATTCTAGAGGTGTTATGCGTTTTTTTTAAATAATGCTCACTGAACTTTTCAATTAATGGAGCCTGTAACCTTATCATTTTTCTTTAAAAATTTGAATCGAAATAGAGCCTGACGTTTGATAAAGGCATAAAAAAGTTTCAAGAGAATATTGCAAAAAACATAAAAAAAATATTTAATGTCTTAAAAATGTCAAAAAGAAATACCAAACTTAATACGTTGTTTATCATTTATGTCTATTTAAATTGTCCTTGATTGGGACGAACTTTTTTGGAGTAATAAAATACTTTCTTATCGATTAAATCTCCAAAAAATGGCGAGTAGCGAATACCCAATCTTCGTTCTTATTTTATAATATTTTAATAGATTTTAAGGACATTTTCCCAGTACTCACCGTCCCTTTTCGGTGGAGTGGTGGTACCAGCGCGTCTGCTTCTTCCTCAGCACTTCCGGCATCTTGACGAAGCAGGACAAATGCAGAGTCTGCCCATAGGAGGAGGTGACCCTCTTGCGCAGGACACTCGTGTCGCAGATGCCGGACGTCTCGTTGGCCACGTCCTGCAGGAGACCCAGCTGATAGGGTCGGCAGGCGTTGACCTCCTGATCCCAGCCACAGTAGGGATCCGCAACGCAGCGGAAACAGCTGTCGTAGCGGCGGGCGCACATGGCCATGTCGATCTGCTTCACCTGGTGGTCGGTGGCCAGGTACAGGGATCCCGTCTTGTGGCTCAAGGTGAGTTCCCTGATCGGCTCGTTGTGCGGCGAGGCCTCGAAGATGTCCACCAGATTCGAGTGCCGCTGGCCGTAGTGCATGAACTGCACTATCTTGTATATGTGACTCGATGTCGTGGCCACAAAGTACACAAGGAACTCCTGGTTCAGCTTGTCGATCCGTATCCTGAGGGAAAAAAACGGGGCGAAAGAAAGCCAAGAATACGAGCGTCAGTGGCAAGCGCTTAACTGAAAACACATCCTGCGGCACTTTGTTCACAAGTTCCGGCCAAGACAAAACATTGCCAGAACAACTGACAGCACTGAGCCAGCCCAGGAGTCTGTGCACTTAGAGAGAGAATAGTCTTAAAAATTAATAAACTGAAAATAATAGTTAATAAATTTAAAACAAATTTTGAAACCTTAACAACTTGAAAAGACTTATACTTATTTTAAAAGTATTATCATTGTAGTTCTTTTAAGTCTGAAAGTTTTCGGGCTTTTTTGATAAAAACATTTCAAAAGCTGCCTTTCGAAAATTGACTTTTCTTAAAAAAGGTTTATGTTTTAGGGTGATTTAAAATCTGTGGAACATTTGTACTTCACTGTAGCTAACTTTAATTAATATTGTTTCGCCAAGAAGTTGCCTTCTGCTAATTGTCCTGCCTTATTTATAATTACCCATTAGAATCAAACCGTTTTAATAATTTTCTAGTAAATAAAAAAAAAATAAACATACTCTATTCGAAAGTCTTAACTAATTTTCAGCTTAATTTAAAATTATAATTCATGGCTAAGAACTTTTTACTAAATTAAAGTAATAAATGGAAATGTGTGTTTTTCTCGCAGTCTACCCACACATTGCCCCGACAAATGTCAACAGGGATACTCCCATGCGACTGGCTCCTTGCCAGACCAGTAGACCATCAGACCATCAGACCGTCAGACCATCAGTCCAGTGGACTAGTAAAGACCACCAGTCTGCCGGACAGCCGGACTGGCGGAATGGCAACTGGCAACTGGCTGGCGGCGCTAATGAATACAGTTCTCACTTACTTGTCCACCACCAGCTTGGTGAGTATGACGTCGCGCTTGAAGAAGACCGGATTGCCAAATTCATGATCGACCGCCTTGTCCATTAGCGGATGTTTGCGAATGAAATTCAACACGGAGTCCGGCAGCGTGGCGGTGTCGTTGTGGCAAGTTCCCGGACGTGGCTCCGGCACTTTCGAGTTCAGAACGGGCAGCCAGGCGCTGTTCGAGGTGGCCTGCTCCTTGAATTTGCCTGGATTTATATAGCAGATGGGTAGGAAGAGAAAACGGGGGAGGTGGAGGCGTTAGTACGGAGTTGAGTGCCGGAGAATGCTGCACTTAATTTATGTGTGTCAGTACTGTGCGAGTCCTGATTTGTGGCACTCGCACTCGGTAAATAAAAACTACAATTTAAGAGACACACAGCCAGGGCTTTAATGTTCATGCGAAGTTCAGTTTGATAGAGAAATAACGAGGAAACATCAGTGATATTGTTAATAATTTTATAAGATATATACATTTATTATAAAATATCATAAAAGAGTTTCTTGGTGAATTTTAAATTACAGTCCATATCTAAGAAAATTTAAATTGGATTGCTTTATACTAATGAACAATTTTTCATTAAACTCAAAAAAACAAAATGTAACTAGTATCAACATTTTTTTTTTCATTTATTCTCGGGGTGACATCATTTATTTTGCATTCCATTTAATGATGCTGGATTCCGCATGAACATTATTATGTAACAAATATGAAATACAATTTAAGAATCGCAACCCGGCCTTCGAGTGGAGCAGCATAATCGTTTGTGGCCATAATTAATTGCTGTGGCTTTCCACATTTTTTTTATCACACTCGCCGCTGTCTGTGCAACATGCCCGCAAACTTTTCGTAATGAATTTTAAGTGTATGCCAGATTTTTTGCAGCACTTTGCCGGTGGCAGTGTCTGGTTGGATCTGTCTGCCCGATTGTCTGCCTGTCAGTCTTGGCACCGCTCCACACTCGCAGCAGAGAGCCCAACTTTATGGTGTTAATGAACTTTTCCGGGCCAACTTGGGTTAAAAAGTGTTGGCTGTACTCATTACTTGGACGGCCCTCCCGTTTCCGAGAGTTAAAGAAATTCAAGTTGAATGTGAGACTGTTTCAATAAAAGAAGGTGGAATGGGCGGAGTGGGTGGTTTGGGTGGTTGGATGGTTGGGTGGTGAGGATGCCACCATCAATTCAATGCGCACCATTTAACGCTCGAATTCCAGGGAACAGGACCTCCACCTGTGCGCGTAATTCCATCCGCCGTCGCCGGAGAAAAGGAATCCCCCCGAAAAATTATGGACATTGCAATAAATCACACGAGCATCCTCCCCCCACCTCGCACACACATACAGTGAACACTCACCGTCGAAGGCCGCATTGATGTCCCGGATGTCGTAGCTGCAAACTGCCGATCCAATCAGACCGTTCGTATTCGTTGTAAACGTGGCATAGAACTTGGTATCATCGGTTGGCATCTTGTACACCGACTGTATCTCGTTGAAGTAGAAGGGGAATTCGCTGGAGATGCTGCAGTTCATCCGCGCTTTCAAGTAGGTCGCCCAGTTCTGGCTGATCATGTACTTTCCGCCCCGATCGTTTTTGCAGACCCTGGCAACCCTGGAGTAGACCGCCTTTCCGCAGTTTATGTACTCCACTGCGTGCTCGCGGAAGAAGAAGTACACGAACTCCCCAATTTCAAAGGAGCCCACAAAGTTCGGTTCTAAAAGAGAAGAAAATCAATTTTTATTCAGAAATTTGTAACTACAAATATAGGGTAGGCTTATTTAAAATTCTCTATAAAGGTGTCATAAAAGTGTTCATTGATTAGAGGATTTATAGTGATTTCTATCTTCTTTATAATAACTTGAATAACTTAAAAGTTATCCTTGAGTAGTTTTTTAAACAGGAATTTATGAACTTAAGATAATATTCCAAGGGTTATTTGTTACTTATAAACAAAATAAGATCTTATTCAGGTAAACTAATAAAGCCTCAATTTATATTAAAAAACTTTTCTAAGTTATTGCTTGCTAGGTTTTTTTAATAAAAAATAAATGCATTATATCAACTAAATTATTTATTTAAGTACTGTAATCTGCTTTTTTTTTCAAAGCTGAAACTGCCTCCAAGAATTCTTGGAAAATCAGCTTTGGAAACAAAAAAAATTTATTATAAATTTGTAGGCTTCATCTTGTGTTATTCTCCGCTACTACTTACTGTCCAACAGCTTGGAGTCGTATTTGACGGTCCTCTTGAAGTTGGCCTCCTTCCTCCCGTTCGTCAGGTTGTAGAGGTCCGAGCGGAATATGACGGAATCCGCCTTGGTGAACTCTGCATTCGTGCCGGCGTACTGCATTTTTGGTTTGGCACAAAAACAAAAGGGAAAACAAAGGGAACAGAGGGACACAGGCATAGTTAGCAAGGGGCAACTGTTGATAAGGCTCGAACATCACGCATACGCCCAGTAAGCCAAGGCACGCACGCACACAATTACGCATAAAGTGTACGAACGTGCCTCCCTCTCAATGTGTGCGTGTGTGTCTCTGTATATATGTATGTGTGCGTGTGCGTGCGTTTGAGTGTGTTTGTATGCCTTGGTCTAATTTAATTTCAGCTGCTTTATTGCCGCCTTTCTATGTTTTTGCCGTCTTTAAAATTTTCTTGCCCCGTCCCAAAAAACACAACTTTGCCAACTTCCTCTTCTTCTTCTGTTCTGTTGGCCCCGCTTTACTTTTGTAATTTTATTACAATTGACATTTTTCTTTTTATTCGTGCCTTCCCTTACTCCTTATCCCGTATCCCCTATCCTTACTTTTATTCCACTTCCGCTTTTCGGGTCGAACTTACCAGGGCTGGCAGGCCGAAGGGATTTCCGTTCTCCACATAGACGGCGGTTGAGTTGTCAGCAGGATCGTAGGGACACTTGCCAATACCCAGCCCAATGCCGGGCACGTACTGGGATCTGGGTAAATGTGTTAAGTTTGCCTGGGGGTGTGTACATTTCGGTGGGCAGGAATGGGGGGTTGAAAGAGAGAGAGAGAGAAAGAGAGAGGTAGAGAGTGGGAGAGAGAGAGCAGAGTGAAAAGCGCATTAGTTGACTTTAATTTTGAGCCCCCGCTGGGCTGAAATGAACTTCAAAAACTTGACTGACATTCACAATCAGGCACTTTGATGAGGTCCCAAGAAAATCGTTCGTCTTTCATTTACAAAGAAGGGGTGTTATTCAAGGTAAACATATGAATTTCAGTTTTTATATGAATTTCAGTTTTTTTATTTAAAATAATTCAGCCAAATATTATTGTATTTTATTTTAATATGAATCAATTTGGCAGAGATTTAGGTATGGCAAATATTTATCCTGACATTTAAGATGTTTCAAGCTTATTTGATTTCGTACATTCAATTTCTGTCAATGTGAACACATATTTTATACCAATTATAAATACGTGATTCAATTTTCCTTAAACCATTAATATGGTTTCAACATGATTTTGGTTTTTACAACTTAAAACCAAATATTACTGTGAATGGGATTCAGTCATGATTTCCATTACCTTCTCCAGAATACTTACATTTATTACATAGTCCTTGGGATTGTGGGCATTAGTTCCGCAGATATATAGCTTCTGGCCATTGAAGTTCATCGGCTGTATAACCCTTATGTGGTTGCGGCATTCCACCTTCTTGTCAAGCGCCAGAAAATGCAATTGCATTCAATTCGGTTTTTTTTTGTTGTGTGTAATTGTAATAAATGTTAGAAAATAATAGTCGTAAGGAAATCATACGTCGGTTTTTGTGGGTTTGTGGTTTTGGAAATGCAAATGGAAACAAAAAATGGGCGAGGCCGTGAGTTTACAATTCGATATAGGCAGAAAATTTCGAACATGCTTTGGATTGACATAAATGGTTAGTGAAAATCAAGCCAGACTCACCTCGCGTTTGCCCTTGGACACACAATTTAGAATATCCGATCCGGTGGGCTCCAATATAAGGACATCGCGCTGTGGAAATGAGAAATGGCATCGAGTTTAAATTTATGTTAGTCGAGTTTATTGAAAGCGTGCTGGAATGCGAAAGTGGGGGATGTTCAACCGAGAGCACGCGCCAGAATTTTTGGCTCACTCGCATAACGCGTTTTTATTTTATTTGTACTCTGTATGTGGCTCACGTTGGGCATTTGTTTATTTAATTCGATTCGTGTTTTTTTTTTTTCGAGTTTTTGTATTTTGTGTTGCGGCACTCAAATCGACAGGGAATCTCCTCTCGCAGTTTGTCTTGCTGCAAATACTTTGGCCTAAGTGAAAGCCACAAATCAATGGCGTGGGCGAAAAAGCCATCGACTGACAATTTTTATGCTTGACATATAGACACAATATCCGGTGGCTCTGTGGATGCACTTTCCACTTTTATTTCCACTTGCCCCAAGTGTCAGTCCCTTTCGGCCGAGCTCTAAGTGCTGGGTTCTCGACTTGGAATCGCAATCGGAATCGAATTCCTTTTGGCCGCCCCGAAGTCAGCACAAATAATTGCTGTTAAAAGCATTTGCTGCGTCTCAGGAGGTGGCGATAGTGCAATGGGAGCAATGGGCTGCATCCTCGCAAGGACGAAAAAATCGTGGCGGAAAATGGTTGAATGGACCGAGGCGGATATTGATAGTTGAAGATGGAATCATTAAAGAGCAATTGCGAGCTGTCAGTGACAAGTTGGTCACTCAGAAATGCAGAGGGCGGTTCTTAAAGGCGCTCGTGAATTCATCGATTCTTGTTATTGAAATGCAGAACAGTTGGGCATATAAAATGAGGAGATTGCCATTAATGTTTTTGTTTGCTCTTTTACAATTATAGGTCACTCTTAAAGAGAGCTATTGAAAATTATAGCAAAGAGTGCTATTGAATAACCTTCACATTGCACTTTTCTAATGACTTTATATAAGTTCCTTCTAAGTGTAGAACCTTTGACAGTTACCAGGTGAAAATATTGTTTGTAAGGAATTTCCAGATTAATTCAATTTTCTTACCTCGCAAATCGATTGGCTGATGTTGCGCAGATTGAGCCGAAATATGCGATCCCTGGAAGAGAAAGAGAGAAAGGGCCGAGAAATGAATTAGCATGGTAAAGAGGAAAACTTTGTCAACCCGGGGCACTCGAGTTAATCCCCGGCTCGTGCCCCCTCATGCGATAAGTTAATGCCACACCAGTTGCCAGCTGTCTGGCCTCGGCAAACCCGGGCTCATTGACATTTTTCCCTGTTTCTTATTTTTGTTCTCCTGTCTTTCTTTTTTTTTTTTTTGTTGTTTTTCTGGCTTGAAAAATCGTTGTCAGGCGCACACACCTGCTGTGCAGTGTGGCGAGCTGTCGGGCCTGCCAGCGTACTTATTGCAGTCAGTGTGCCCTGATTGATTGATATGTCGAATGTGGCAATATTGCCAGCCAGCTAGCCAGCCAGTCAGCCCGGCAGAGCGACAGAAAGACAGACAGACAAAACTTTAAGCGCTGGCAGGCAGCCCATCTCTCGCCGTTTTCCGGCCACTCGAAACTTTTGCGGCGCCGCGGAAAAACAAAAGGAAAACCTTAACGCAAACGCAAACGCTAACGGAAAGACAGAGGCAAAGGCAAAGGCAAAGGGGCAGTGGAAGCGGTCTAAAGTGTGTTTTATGTAGTTGCCGGCAGAGTTTTTGGTAGCTTTCCCCCGACAACTGCGAGCCATTAATCTTCATTTCCCATCCAGGCTCTAGGAGACCGGCAATCGCTGACGAGAGCCGCCAGCTGTGGTTGCGTGGGGTCGTCGGTGGATCGGTGGTTCAGTCGGTTCAGCCGCTTCGGTGGCTCTCGAGTCAAGTGGTAATTTTGGTTACTTTGTTTGCCTGCTTTTAGGGACTCCTTCCCCTGCTCGTTCCCTGGCTTCTCCGGGCTCCTCCGCAGCCGCAGAACTGTGAAAATGCGGCCGTGTCCAACTTGCCGCAGACAAATGAGCAGACGGGTGCGCTCCTTGTCAAATTGCAGAGCCCCCTCGCCGACCTTGCCCCTTCCTCGCCGGTGGCATTAATTCATAATTATGTATGCCGACAGTGTGGCCGGGTGCCCCGTCCCTTGGAAAATGAAATATGCAGCCCCCAATGCGTTCGGGTTGCCAAGTAGGGAGCCACATGCCGTCTCGGGCGGAACTTTCTAATTGTCGGCGACCGGAAAAGAAAGTTTCCGAAAATTATGGCATATTTTTCAGCATTAAAAGGGTTTTATTAAGCCATAAATATTTATTGCAGACCACAAAGAACTATTAACATAAATAGTTAATTGCTTCGGTTCAAGGTAAATGTCCACCAGCTGAAGGACGCAAAGTAATGGTTGTAAGGTCACAATCCTTCAAGTGGGTAACCTTATTTCTAAAGGCCTGATTGTCCAATTTCCTTACCAAAATATACCTAATGCTTAATACCTACAACTACTTATTTATTTTTTAATATTTGTTCTTTTGTTTTATATACAAGAAGAGAAAAACTGAAAACTTGTTTAATAAAAGGGAATATAGTTGAGCTTCGTCCAATAATCAGACAGATTTTTTAGAATTTTACTGATTAGAAATGTAAAATAAAAAGTAGAAAAAACTGTTTGAAATTGTGAAACAAAAACTTTAGTTCGTATCCTGGAACAATTTTGTAGAAAACCTTCTTCAAGTTATTTAAATTTTCTTTATGTCTTAAGTGCAAATGCAAAAAAGCCATCAAATCTTTGAAATAGCGCTCTCCAAGATTAGTTTGATTTAGATTCCAAATTTAGTAGGTAAATCAAACACATATCCCATAATTCAATGAGACTGGGAATACTATGAGCCAATCAGCTTTTAGGCAGCTGTACAAGGCTTATATTGATCTAGTTAACCAACTGTAATCTTAGAACCCCCATAACATAAATATATACTTACATTGCGCCCACATACAACGCATTGTTGCGCTCGTCCATGTAGAAGGTCTTGTAGTGCAGCGGGCCGCAACTGAAGTCCTTGACGTGATCTGCAAAAGGAGAGGAAACAAAGACGAGATTGAGCATACGCAACGTGTACATTGATTAACAAAAGCCGAGGCAGTTAATTAAGGCCTAATGAAACTGTCAGCAGCAGTTAGGCTTGGCTGGGCCAAAAAAGCGAGGCGAACTAATTAAACTATTATAATTTCGGCTCAACAAACACAAAGTTAATTTATGGGGGCCAGAGTAAATACGGCAGAGGGCACAAGGACAGGCTCCTCGGCCATGTCCTTGCACATTTGACACTGACAGTGTCACGTACTCCTGCCGGCGGTGTCACGTGCTTCGAAGACGAAGTCCGGAGACCCAAAAACAAGTCCAAAAAAGTTGCACCGCTGTCAATGTCATTAACAAAAGATTGAGGCATTTAGCTGAAATTTTTACGACATTAAGTTGTCAACTAATTTGGCACAATTAGTGAAACAACAAGAACGCAGCGAACAGTGGACAAACAAGCCCCGCCACACACATACACACAAACACACACAAACAGAGGGACAAAGGACAGAGTGGTAGGACAACTTTTTATTTTTGGGCCAAAGCCCGAGCAAATCCTTTGATGGCCGCGGCAAGAGTCGTTTTCGCTGACTTCGCCGTATCCTTTGTCCTTTGGCCACTGGTCATTGACAACCCTAATGGCCGGCCAACAACAATAGCAGTTACAAAAGTGATTTCCATAATAATGCATAATGAGTGATAGATACGGAACTGCTTGTGACCTCATGCAAATTAGCCCGAATTTTTGACTGCGACTCTTTTTTGGGACAATTGCCCCCGAAATTTTCAAGAGTTTTACTTTATTTTCCAAGTACAAATTATTCCATTTGTTGTAAAGGTTGTTATATCAAGATTGTTATGGCGAGCAGTCCTTAATTTGAGGCATGAAAGGAGCTGTTTGCTAATAGCTTTCCCCAGCATTAACAATTAGAGAGGTTTGCTTTTATTGAAATAAGATTATGAATTTATGAATGGAAACTCCGAAACAAAAGCAATAAATTGCCAAAGTTTTAAGCCAAGAGAGGCCATGCACCGAAAATCATTTAATTTATTGACACATACATTTCTAAAGTTTTAGCTAAATTGTAGTTTTTTTTTTATCCACAGAAAATGAGTTTCTTTAGGATTTTCAGCTATGGTTACACACGAAATACCGCAATGGTCAAGTCACACCAAAACAAATCTAGGGACACACAGAAATCGATTATTATTCGTACTACCTGCACTCATGACACAATCCGAGTTCCAGTTGAGGTGGTTCTTTCAAATACGTACAATAAGGTAAGTTAAATGAGAAGATTATTCTGTATAATGACCATATTATAATATTAAAATCCAATAGGCATTGGCCTTTACATTGGAAGAACGCCAGCGATTGGGCATCCATGGCCTTATGCCCGCTTGCATTCGCACAGACGATGAACAGATGTTGGCCATCGAGACGAACTTTCATTCGATATGCGAAAATGTGGGAAGGTATCGCTACCTGAGGGCCTTGCGGCAGGGATACGAGAGGTTGTACTTCCAATTTGTGGCCAGAAATGTTAACTTGGTGCTGCCCATTATCTACACGCCCACTGTGGGATTGGCCTGCACTATATACGGAATGCTATATCGTGGAATGACCGGAATCCATCTAACCAAGCACGATAGAGGACACATGAAGCAGGTCCTGTCGAATTGGCCCATGAGGAGTAGCATTAAAGCCATCTGTGCGACCGATGGAGAACGTATTCTGGGGTTGGGAGATCTGGGAGCCAATGGAATGGGCATTTCGGTGGGTAAAATGGAACTCTACACAGCCTTGGCAGGAATTCCACCGAGCTCGTTGCTGCCAGTTTGCTTGGATGTGGGAACTAACAACAAGTCGCTCCACGAGGATCCACTGTACATCGGTCTTCGGGAGGAGCGAATGAAGGGTGAGGAGTACGTGTCCTTCGTCGATGAATTTGTGGAGTCGGTGGTGAAGACTTTTGGCAGCGAGACCCTCATCCACTTCGAGGACTTTGCCACACCAAACGCCTTTATGTTTCTGAACAGATACAGAGAGTGCTACTGCCACTTCAACGATGACATCCAGGGAACAGCTTCAGTGGGCTTGGGAGGACTGCTGGGCATCCAGCGGATAACCAAGAAGCCTTTAGAGGATCATGTAATCCTTTTCGCAGGAGCAGGCAGTGCTATCATGGGCATTTCGTATCTCCTCAAGCAGGAGCTCATATCCAGGGGTCTCAGCAAAAGGGAGGCTGTCAAGAATATTTACATGTACGACCAAAACGGACTACTGACCACAAAGAGAACGGATTTGCCCGAGAATATAGTCGTGTTCGCCAAGGACATGAAGCCCATTAAGTCGCTCGAGGATCTTGTGGAGAAGGTGAAGCCCTCGATTATAATGGGTGCTACTTCGGCAGCTGGATTGTTTTCAGAGAAAATAATTCGCTCCATGGCCAAGAATCACGAGCGACCCGGCATTTTTGCCTTTTCCAATCCAACCGCAAAAGCTGAATGCACCGCCGAACAGGCTTACAATTTTTCAGACGTAAGTTAAGTGTTATTATCCTTTTCTATATTTAGAATTAAGCATTTCTGTGTGTTTTTTAGGGAAAAGCTATCTATTCAGCGGGTTCCCCCTTTCCCCCCGTGGAGTTCAATGGCAAACGTCTTACTCCCGGCCAGGCCAACAACTGCTTTGCCTTTCCTGGAATAGTTCTGGGTACGATGACGGTTTTGGCCGACAGAATGCCTGACGAGATTTTCCTTTTGGCCGCCCACGAGTTGGCCAAGTTTCCATCGGACGAGGATATAAAAGGGGGTCGCATCTATCCACAAGTTGATCAGGCCAAACAGGTGGCTTTGAAAATTGGGATAAAAGTGGCCGAGTATTTGATAGAAAATGGTAAAAAATTGTACATATTTCAGAACAATATTAAAAGAGTTTTTTGTTCGTAGGCCATGCGAAGCGCTCTTTAGACTGTGATGAAATTCCCGAATGCATTGCAAAAAACTCGTATAAATTGGAATATGGAAGCGCCCTGGCTGAAACTTGGCCTTATCCGCAGATGAAACCCCATCCAAAAATCCCGTGCCCTAAAGATAAACCCAAAGAGAAAAAGTAGGCGGTATCTGACGGAAAACCAAATTTTTTCTGTTTTTGATGTCACAAATAACTTTAAATTCTCACATGAAATACTCATAAAAATTTTTTGCTGTTTATTAAATTATAAATATGGAACTGCGACGCCTTCATCGGCTACTTCGCCATCGTTCCCGACCACTTTTGAGTTTTTGCAGGAACATCAATGTCTATGACGATGAGAAGTCTCAAATTGCGCGACCCGACTGGCACCTTCTTATGGATGGGAGATATAATAAGGTAAGCTGTGATGTAAAAATATAAATAATATAATATACATTTTAAGTTTTAGGGCCTGGCTTTCACTATTGAAGAGCGACAGCGACTTGGCATAATGGGTTTAATGCCCATTTCAGTGCGGACTATTGAAGATCAAATGGCGGCGGCGCTTACCAATTTCGAGGCCAGGCCCTCCGATATTAGTAGATTCACCTATCTGAGTGCCGTTCACCATAGGCACAGGCGACTGTACTACAAGTTCGTTAGGGAAAACATCGTGAGGGCGCTGCCAATTGTTTACACACCAACTGTTGGCGATGTGGTGGCCACCTACGGGCTAAACTTCCAACACGCCGAGAGTTTGTTCATCAGCATCTACGACAAAGGCCACATTCGGGATCTGATGCACAACTGGACGGACCACGATGTCAAGGCCATTTGCGTGACGGACGGAGGAAGAGTTCTGGGACTCGGAGACATGGGTGCAAATGCCATGGGAATTAGCATGGGAAAAATGATATTGTATACCGCGCTGGGAGCCATTCCACCCACTGCACTGATGCCAGTTTGTCTGGATGTGGGAACGGATAATCAGTCACTGCTGCAGGATCCCCTCTACGTGGGCGCCAGGATTCCCAGGGTTCGAGGTCCCGAGTACGAAGAACTCGTTCAGGAGTTCATGGAGGAAGCGGTCCACTGTTATGGCCACGATGTCTTCATCCATTTTGAGGACTTTGCCACCCCGAATGCGCTGAAGTTCCTGGCAAAGTATCAGCACGACTACTGCTGCTTCAACGACGATATTCAGGGCACTGGAGCCACTGGATTGGCGGCTTTTGTTAACGTGGAACGCATTACTGGTCGTAAGTTGGAGGACACTATATTCGTTTTCGCGGGAGCTGGCAGTGCAGCCTTGGGAATCGCACAAATGTTAGTCATCGAACTGGAGACAAGGGGACTTTCGCCCGAGGAGGCAGTCAAGAACATATACTTGGTGGATGTCAATGGCCTGATCACCTGCAAGAGCGAGAATGTGCCGGATCAGGCAAAGATATTTGTCAAGGACATGGAGCCCATCAAGGAACTTATTTCGGTGGTGGAGAAGCTCAAGCCTTCCGTTATCCTCGGAGCCACTGGAGTGGCAGGCATCTTCGACGAGAAAGTACTGAAAACGATGGCCAAAAACCACGAACGTCCTGCAGTTTTCGCCCTCTCGAATCCCACATCCAGTTCGGAATGCACAGCTGAACAGGCTTATACTCATACTGAGGTAAGAGTTTAGAAGTACCTTGTAGAATTTCGTTAATTCTGTACCTAATCTACTGTAGGGTCGCGTTCTTTTCGCTTCTGGATCGCCCTTTCCTCCTGTGGTGATCAATGGCAAGAGGTTTACGCCCGCCCAGGCCAACAACTGTCTCACTTTTCCGGGAATCGCATTGGCAGCCATCTCTGCCAAGGCTCGATATCTGCCAAACTCCGTGTTCTCTGTAGCGTCCCACGAACTGGCCAACAACACGACCCAGGAGCAACTGGATGCAGGTACATTGTTTCCTGCGATGAGCAAAGCCCACGAGGTGGCCTTCAATGTGGGCGTGGCCTTGACTGAATATTTATTTGATAATCGTGAGTAATAGTAACAAAGTTATTAAGGGGAGGGTAAGGTCAAATCATGCGAAAAAAGCCATGTTTTTGAGATTTTTTTCCTGACGACATAGTTAAAATTTATTTATTCAACCAACGGTATATTAAGGTATGACATTAGAAGAATGTTTTACCAAATTTTTACAAAAAAATATTAAAAAATGTGGCAATGGTAGCAATTGTCCGGACGTGTCGCCAAAAAAAGTTGAATTGCGGTGCCCCTCATAACTCGGTGCTGGATCATCCGAAATCAAAAAATGAAAATTCATTCGTTAGATAATAGTTCGCCCCAGGTAACGCTGTAAAGTTTTTTTGAAAATTGCAATTTTTTAATTTTTTGGAAGATTTTGAAGTGAAAAACACAATTTTTTGGGAAAAAATCGGTAATTTTTTCATTGCAAAATCAAAATTATGAACAAAAAAAAAAAAAACTCGACAGCGTTACCTCGTAAAATATGTACAGAAATAGTATTTAAAATTTCAAAAGGATCGGTGCAGTAGTTTTGAAGTTATTAGGGGCACCGACTTTGAAAATAGCGTGTTCGGCAAAATCGATTCAAAGTATTTTTATACGTGAAAATACGCCCAAATACGGTTGTTTAAAACGCTGTAACTCCGTTAGTTTGACTTTAATTGACTCAAAATTTTTACACAATGTTCTCGACATATTAATCATTCAGAAAAAAAATAAAAAAAAAATATTAAAAAAAAATTTTAAAACCTTACCCTCCCCTTAAGTGGTTTATTCAAAACATTCCTAAATTAAGAGAGAAAAGGGAATTTAATTTAATTTTCTCTCATATTTGTTTATACATACACTCAACATTAGTTGAGTCTTCGCAAATGAAGAAATTTTATAATTTAGATAGTGATATATTGTAATTATTAATTTACTTTATGCGTTAGTAACGCTATTTGTCTTAATATATTTAGTTTTCTTTAGTTATGTTTGTCTGCTTTGTAAAAATGAACGAATTTAAGTTCTCAGACATCTTTATAATCAGTTTGGCAATGTTGATATTAAATATGATCTTGAAGTAATGATTGTTATTTAATTATTCACGTTTCTCTAGATCTATCGAATGTCTATCCCAAGCCCGATAATGTTTGTGAGTATGTGAAGAAAACCCTGTACGAGTTCGATTACAAGAGCTCCCTGCCTGCCACTTGGTGTTATCCCGAGGAAGAGGCGCTTCCTGAGATGAAACCCATGCCAAAGCTGAAGAAGGATAACGAGAAATAAGCTTGGCCGGGAGTTGCACTTATATGCGAAGACTACTAACCTGCTTTCCAGCCAAGGAAATAATGATCTTTTTGTAATTAGTTGGAGATACAAGGACCAGGCTAAATCACACACACACACACACTACATTCGCATACACACACACGCAAACTGGAACGATAAATGCCCGACATTTTAACGTTATTATTGTCCTGTCAACGGGAAGCCAGTTGACATGCTCGTGCGCCTGTGTGTGTGTGTATCCTGCTGATTTGCATATAAAATAGGACGAAATGTCTGCTCACCAAAAATGTCAATCAATTTCCTTGCCTCTTTTTGCCCCTCCCTTTTTTATACTTTCTTCCTTTTTTCGCTCTTTTTTTGTTGAGCAGAGAGAGACGAGGACGTGCATGCATTAAAAAGCAATTGGTGTTAAAAGAGCAGTCAGGCGGCAGTCGCACGTTGTCTGCCTGTCTATCAGTTTGGCATTGGCATGTAGACCCCCATAACCCCCCCCCGCTAACCCCCCTCCCCACTTAATTCCCTCGATTTTCCCTGCGAGAAGAGCCTTTCCTCGGGAAGAGCTGCCTTCCCGCCCGAAGAAGCCCCCCGACAAAATGGAAGCAACAGAAATGCGAAATCATTTCCCTCGACTGACAGCTGTCAAAATATTTGCTCTCTTCCGATGGCTGCGTGGCTTCTGCCGCTGCGTGTGTCCTTGTCCCCTGTAAATTTCATTTTAATATTCATTACTTCACACTTAACACACACACAGGAAGTCTCTCCACGGTGACCACATTCGGTTCTTTAATCGATGGAGCGACTCCAAACTTAAACTGCCGCCGGAGGAAAAGAGATCTTGAGACGCCGGCCGCTTTCGTTACGGTTAGCCTGGCTTATGGAATTTAATTGGCCATAAAAATGTATGCGGCTTGTTGAACGTGGCAAGCTGTAGTCGTAAATCGTAAATTTCCCTCTCGCCAGTTTTCCCCATCGATTTACGCTTTACGATAAGGCTCTAAATTTAAATGCCAGCGGCAAAGGTTAAGGGTTTTTTTTTCTTGTTTTGTCTGCTCTGGGATAAGGATTATATGATGCGTCAGCATATAAATTATAGGCCAGATAAACCAGATAAAAGGGAGCTAAGCAAAGTCAGTCAGCCCCAGCAAATGGAGGGGAACTTAAGGTGGTTTTTATACTTTATAGGCACGTTTAGCTCTGAAATAAAAGTTTTCTCAAATGACAGATGCTTTGCAAGGGCCATGAATTATAACCATAACACTAAGCCTTATGTTCTGCATGTATACATATTGAAAGCTTAATATTTGGAGAAAAAAAGTTAAATATTTGTATATGTAATCAAGGCCATCAGTTTACTTAGCCCCTTGTGAACGTTTTAATAAAATTAATTTTATCATTGACCTCACTGTGTTTTTCCTTTCGGTTAATTGTTGGGTTTTTTCCAGGCCGATATTTGAATTGGTTTTTACTCAAAGCCTCAGTGTTATCTAGCTGGCCAAGTCTAAGCCCCAAATGGGTCAAAGCCGAGGCCAGAAGTTGGGGGCCAAAGCTCACTTGACTGTGCTCAGTCGATAAGTAGCCCCAATAAACACAAAAGTCTACTCAGCGTAGCCTCTGTTGCTGTTGGCCGACCGCTACTTCATCTTTTTGAAGATTTTCATTTATCTGCTGGCCGAGATAAAACAGCCAAGCAGGCCAAGAAAAAAAAAACGAAAAAAATAAACGCAAAGAGAAAAAAATGCGCCAGAAAGCAAAACGAAGGAGGGCAGCACTTAAATCCATTTAAGCGAATTTTTCAAGCATTAAATTTGCGTTTACGTTACGTATACTTAACTTCCAATGGCAACTGGCGGAGGGGAAGGGAAAGTGGGAGGGGCTTACGGGGGGGAAATGTTAAGGATGCTGGGTGAAGGACGAAAGTCTGAGCCTGGCAGCAGGTAAATGAAAAATTTGCCTCCGTTTTTCGTGGAGTGCGGGGTCCAAATGTATTTTGCATCATTTGTCTTAGCCACGGCAAGGATCTCATTCCCTATCTTCCCCTAACACACACATAGATACATACTCACACACACACAGGCTCACTTGGAAAACACCTGCCTTCGCATATGGTCACAGTTTTCGGTCCGACTTTTGTTTCACACTCTCCATATGAAAATGGTGGTTTTTCCCCACACACACACACACACACATGCATATAAACACATACAGTCAACAGTTTTGTTTGGCTGCGACTTCCATTGTTGTGTTTTGCGGCCATGTAAATGCCCTGCCACGCCCACCCCACCACCACCTCCGCCCACCGATTTTTTTTTGGTTGGTGGCACTGTGAAGCATTTTTTCTTATCTCCACTTTGCATGCCGCACAGTGTTTTCCCTCCGTTTCCATTCTTTTTTCCAGACGAACTGAGTCAGCACTTAATTTTTATTTGATTCTGTCTCAGTTGCGTTGCGGTTGCTTGACTTGACTTCAGTTCAGTTCGGTTTACTTCACTTCACTTCGCCGTGGATTGAAGCCGAGTGTAAGAAGCCGGGAGTGCGTAATTTTTTATGGCGTTAATTTAACAATGATTGGCTTTTCAACAGCCCAAGGAAAACGAACCTGTTCGGAAACGCAATGTTTTCGAAGGCAAATGAAATGAAACATTCCTGGACTTTCATTTTGCGATAAGGGGAGAAGTTGCACATAGTATAATTTCTGGCTGTATAGAATGGAATCGTATTCAATACTAGAAAAATATTTTATATACTTTTTTTTTTTTGTATATATTTTTATTTACGAGAGGAAACGACATCCTTATCAAATAGAAACTCATCGAAACAATCATCCGAAAAGAAAGAAAACCACGTCCGCTTGCATTAGTTAGTTTTGCGAATCGAGAAATGGTAAATCCGGGTTTTGGCCATGCATCAAGCTTATCTCGCTCCCTGCAGCAGAAGCTGTCGCACAAATCTCGAAGCCATTTGCCAATGTCCTGGACCACCTGCATTCCCGTTACATATAAATATGTGTTCGATATTTAACAGCTTCCAGTCGAATGCGCCCGGCAAAAGGACATTCCCAGCATCCTGGCAGCATGGCATCCCGGGATCCTGGCGGTGCCGAAGGAGATGGCAGAGTTGGCGATGCAGACGAGACATATGTATGCAAAGTGAACTGAGGCTCATGTTGGCCAGGCTTAAATTTGGCTCTGGCTTTGGGGCAAGTTTGCTCAGCGAGCCCGCTTACGAGCCAAGTACAAATAGTAGCTGCACTGGGCAAAAGTTTTAAGTAAAGAATTGGGTGGATGGGATGTATGCTCAAATATTTCTAATTTACTGACATAACATTCAATTTATTTATTGGGACCTAATGTAATTGACACAATGCCGTTTCCATAAAATTATTATGTTATTAAAATCAATTTAAATAAGAGGAAAAAATCGATTTCAATACTTGAAGTTAATAACATACATCAATACATATTTTAATAAAATATTAAAATGCTTGAACTTGAATATGATATGCAAATTCTTCAATGGTTTCCTGACAGCTCTCTGAAATCAAGCTTTGGTAATTTAAAATCAAGGCTTGTCAATTTATCAACAGTAATAAATTTTTGTGTGTTTAGAGATTATTTTGAACATTTAAGTAAATCAGCTATTATTTACAGCCAGATAACTAAAATAAGCTGAAAAATTCTCTTACCACCCGAGTTACAACCCATATTAGTCCAACATTATTGTAGTTTTTTTCGGTGTGTGCTGTAAAAATCCAATAAGGTAAACGGCAAACAGCCTGTAATGCAGAAGTGTGTGTGTGTGTGCGGTGTGTGTACCGGTGTGTGTGTGCCTGTGTAAGCACCTGGCATTTGTGTCGAGCACGTTCGTACCTTATGTGGGATTTAGTTTAGACTTCATTTTACTGCGCTGCGCTTTTGGTTTCATTCCGTGTGTCTCCCACCAGCGCTCTTCCCCTCGTTTTGGCCTTCTTTATGCCAGTTTATGATGGCAGGGCCGTAAAAAAGAGAGAAAGAAATTGGGCAGCGCAAGGAGAAAGCAGCAAAGAGAGAGGAGAAAGGAGAGAGGAGAAAGCGCGGTGAGACGACACTGGAGTGTATAGTAAAAATAAAGCCATAGACATGGCTGGCACCGGCACTTGAGTTCCCTGCAGGCTCTGCAGGACGCTCCTGCGAGTCCTCCGCTCCGAGTGTCCTGGAAAGCAAGACAATGCTGTAATCTAGAAACACAAACGTGCAATTCTCTGCACACAGTATTTGTGGTTGTATAGGTCCTGTGTGTGTGTATGTGTGTGTTTACTTGCACACTCTCGACACGAAATGGCGTGGGAATATATTACAAGTTGGTTTACAAGGGAACTATGTCAGTGGCTTCCGAACGGAGAAGAGGGAGTGAGGAGCCAGCTTAAAGCACTCAACGAGCCACAATTCTTAAAGGCAAATCCCTGCGATCTGCGGAGCTGGTCAAAAATTGAGGCAACATAATTCAGCGGACGGGTTTTACGACTCCATCGGAAGCTGCATGTTGCAACTGGCTGCCGCGAGAGGAAACATTAGCAAGTCTAGACACCTACGTCATGCGTCAGCAACAGTGGCTGCTGCATTTTGGAGTCCTGCAATCCTGCATCCCTGCAGGAAGAGCCGAAAAAAAAACGTGCAGGGCCAAAAGGATATGTACTCGAACGAAAGGAGCCGGAAAACTCGGGAAACTGGGAAAAAATGAGACGTCAAGCAGACGATGAAGTCGACGTAGTCTGACAGCCAGCCAGACAACCAGCGAACTCCCAAAAGGATCTGCAAGGAGTGAAAAGTGGGGAAAGGGGAGGAAAAGCGGGGAAAAGGAGATGAAACCAGGAGGAAGACCACCAGGAGCATTTGAACCTCTTGGCTTGCTTAATATGCTGAAAAATACGCGTCTTGACTTACTGCTGCCCGAGTTTCCTCACCATCCCTCTTCACCTTCCACTTGGAATGCATTTCCCAGTTTTACATTTCCATTTCAATGTAACGACACATGTATTTGCGGTGAAAGCTTATGGGGCAAACTAGCAAGCGAGAGAGCGGAGACCCGAGGAAAAGCGCTGGAGTGGGAAAACATTTCCCTGAAATTCATCAAGCGATCGGCGCTTTGAAGCGTTTTTAATTACAGCGCATAATTGGAATTCGATATCTAACCACGTCGGGGTCACCACCTGAAACTACGACCCTCGCCAGAAATTCGTGGGTTGAGTGCGTGGCAAAACTATCCAGCAGCAGCCTGATAAAAATTTTCCAATTACCAGTTTTACATATTTCAAAGC